TCCGCCAGTGGCTCAGAGTAGGTTTCCGCATGGTCATGGGTGTGCTTCTTCTTCTAATAGCTGATGTCCATTGGCAGGCTTCCAGCAGAAACCGATTTCCCCGCTGGGTTCAGATCCTGGAACCATCTTTAAGTATAGGTCCCTTCTAAGGCTCTACACGTGTCTGAATCCCCTGTTGTTGTTCAGACAATCCACTGCCATTGGGTCAACTCCGACTCATAGCAGCCATATTGGACAGAGTAGAAACTCCTCCTGTGGGTTTCTGAGGCTGCAAATCTTAACGGGAGCAGGAAGCCTCACCCTTCGAACTGCTGACCATGTGGTTAGCAGCCCAACACATAACCCACTCCTCCACCGGCAGCTCCTTGTTATTGTTGCTAGTTGCTGGCACGTGGACTCCCAATCCTGGCAGCCCCTCCTGTGCAGAGGACAACCTTTCAGCTAGTGGTTGAGTGCTTAAGTGTTTGCACCACCCACCAGCCCCGTCTCACTTATCTAGTGCCCACGGGAACAGAAATGCCTCTGTGGATGGCTTCGATGGACAGAAACGGATCTCTCACTATTCAGGCGGCACCAAGCCCAAATTCAGGGCACCAGCTCTTGGGGAAGTTTCCTCCCCCTGTTGGCTCATCGTTTAAGAAAAAGGTCTTTTGTCTCCTTTCAGCACCGAGGGGCCCCCCCAGTCCTTGGCAATCTCCTTGTGTCTTTTGCCATCAGTCTCCCCTTGGGTCTAGGAGGCTCCCAGCCCAGGGACCCTGGGACCAAAGACCACATTCTGCTCCCAGCTGTTCTTTCTTGTTGTCAGTAGCCCTTTGTCTCTATTCCCTTCTTGCTCCTTCAGTCTCCAGTAAGATAAAAGGCGATGTGGGCCACACACCAGGGAAGATTCACCTTCCTTGGGATCAGGGCAGGGGCCTGGGTAAGATGCTGCATCCCGCCCTGATGCAGTCACATCAGATCAGGACTTGAGTCCAACCCATAGCAACCCAGTGGCAGCAACAGAAGGCAACACAGTGCCCGGTACTGCAGCATCCTCACAATAGTTCCTGTGTCTGAGCTCATTGTTGCAGCCACGGTGTCAGTCCATGTCGCTGAGGGTCCTTGCTTTGTCACTCCCCCTCCACTTTACCAAGCATGGTGTCTTTCTCCAGGGACTGCTCCACGGAACTCCCTAAATACTGAGAAGTGTGGTCTGGCCACGCTGATGTGTATTGCTGGGGAATAACCATTCGGTCCCTGGTCCCCCCTGACACCTTTGGAGAGGACCTCTGGCCACACAGTCCTGGGGGGAGGAGGCAGCTCTGAGAATCCTACAGGCTGGGGCTGCAGCCACAAGCCCGTGGTTCTCAGGACTTCTCACAGTGAACAAACAAGCAAGGTCAGGAGGGAAATCAGCCTTGCTCACGTTCTCTGAGGCTTCTTCCCCCCCATCCGGATCCAATTCTTTCACCATCTGCACTGGGCCCGGGCGCCCCCCCCACTCCCCCTAGAGCCCTCAAGGCATTGCTCGACTGTCACGTGTGAGGGGGGCTGGTGAAGCAGTGAGCCTGGCTTTCTGATAAACACCCCAAATGTACACACCAAAACGAGCCTTATTTTCTTCAAAGGACGCAGGTACCTGGGAGGCTGTGTGCAAATTCAAACGTTTTGCGAGCTCCCCCTTCGGACTGTCCTCTGTGCTGCTGCAGGCACGTCTGGCTCAGCCCCTGGGAGGTTTCTGCCTCTGTACTTCTTTG